CGCTGTGTCCAGGGAGCGACAGGCTGGGTCAGAGCAAGCCGGGGTAAAGGCAGAAACCCCCCGTGTGACACTGAGCATCTCGCTGGTTTTAGGTCTGGAAAGCAAGGTCTGAGAATGGTGAAGCTGGGGAGTAATTTGAGCGACAAGAGCAGCAAGCAGCCACCCAACGAAGATGGTTTTCAAACAGTTCCTTTGATCACACCTTTGGAAGTAAATCACCTGCAATTCCCGGCTCCGGAAAAGGTAAAACAAATGTGAATGGCATCCCTGCATGATTCCACACTCATACATGTCCCTTGGGTTTTGCCACCTTGGTGACTTGCAGGTCTCTGATGGTAGGAACTGTGTTGTAGTGTTTGTTCAGTAAGTGAGAAGGGGTTATCTTTCTATTTATCTATTTTAACGTGGCAAATAAGCATTCAGCTGTCCCCCCCAACTCCTTCCCTCTTCAAAAAAGCTGCAAGTATTCCTTCATAAATACAAATGGCAATAGCTTAGCGTGTTTCTCTTGCAAGCAGCGGAAAAAATGAGGAGCAGTTTACAGTGTGTTGTTATCAGTAAGATTAATTGCCTGCATTGAGAGTAATGTGATAACTCTTCCGAAATAAGCAGCTATTTTAATTATCTCAGTTAAGGGTTTTTTTCTGCTCCATGGCTTTGCAAAGCTTATTTGGACATTGAGTATGCTGCTTTCTCTGAAGAGAGCGGCTGAGTACCTCCATGCGCGGGGCGGCGATGGGGCAACCCAGGGATTCATTTCCCCCCGGTGGCTCCAGCCAGGGGGCAGCTTTTTCCCCTGCCCACTCAACGCTCTCAGAACTGAATACAGCACAAAAATGTCTAGAAACATGCATTGGTGGTTGGCTGTAGTTCAGTGGTTGGGGTTTTTTAGATGGTTTATGTACTGGGAAATCTTTTGTCTGTATCAACGCAGTGATGATGCATATCAGTGTAACCTGGTGAGGACATGATGAGACCATAAAAATCTGCATGCCCCAACAGTCCTTAAAAATAACAAAGCCTGTCTGCAATGTAGTTCCCAGATATCACAGAGATGGAGCCAACTCACCCAAAAGTCAGACAGAATGATTAGATCTCACAGGATAATTGAATAATAGTAAAATTAACGCTTATGATTATTGAGCATATATCCTGTTTTTACTGTAGTACAAAATGAATTTTCTTTAAATACATTAGGAAAACATGACAATGGATGTGATAAAACTGTCTAGAAGGACAAACTGTGTTTATTTTGTGATAGAGCTGAGTCAACTGCATTGCCATCCTGGGAACCAGAGCTGTGCCAGACAAAGGAGCTGATTTAATTCTCCGTATGTCTCCTGGCAATCAGGAGCGACTTTGCTGCGTTCAGGAGAGTTACACTTCCATGAATTGTTGTGAACGAGAGGCTAAGCCAGCCCCTAGCTATGATTCTGTTCAATAGTAATAAACTAAATAATTCAGGCAAAGCAGTATGATTTATCATAAATGTCTGAAAAGCTCAGAGGAAACTACAGGTGTGTAAAATAAGCTCATTGATGCTAGTACAAATGGTTCATTGAGATTGCATGGCGTCACATGACACGAAATTTAAATGACTTTTCTATCAGTTGAGACATGGATAACCTAAGAAAAAACCTTTCAAGCTAATAAAGTGGCAATGAATGTTCTCACGACCACCACATTCCAATTGCCTGTTGGTGAACAAACACTGGAGTGTATTGGTCTGGTGTGATTCAGTACTGATTTTTCTGTTTAAACATGCCTACATCAATAATTCACGTGTTGTTAGGCTGCATTACCTTCATTAGCATACATTACTGTCAAAGCACCTACTGACATCCATATTTTTCTTTGCTGGAAGAGTGGTATGTATCTCCAGGAGTGCAAAGCGTGATTCAGAACTCATTAGAGTCAACGATACTGATTTCTGCGGGCTGTGGCTCAGCTCCTGTGTGCAGCAGGCCTGGAGGTAACGGCAACTGGAGATCGGTTCACAAGAAGGAGAGGTTATTTACGATAAAGGCAAAATAATTCACAGTCTGTTTCCTCTGCTCTTTGTAGAACGGATTCTGTTGGGCAGAGGGTCTGTTTAAAGACCTGCTAATAAGGAGTTGAGCCTCAGGTGAAATTCTGGGACAAAGGTTAAGTGATAGGGGGAAATTTCAGCTTTGTACTTAGGAAAGCAAAACTGCTACCGATTTCAGTCAGACGGTGAGCCTGAGGAAGAGTAGACATGGATTTCAAGTCTTTCAGGGTGTATTCTTGTTTGGACTTCCCTTGCAGTCAGGGGGTAGGGAGAAAAAAACACCTTAAAATAGATTTGACATTTTTCCTGTCTATTCCTAAAACCTTCCATCAGTTAGTAATAGCTTGGGAGAGAGAGAACATAAGCCATGGTTCTTTCTGTGCCTGGTGCATGGGATGATGCATGAATGACCAGAGCCAAACCATTTTTCGTATCGGGGACTGCGTGCAACAAGCTCAGAAGGGCTTTGCTCACTCCTTTTCTCAAATGCAAGCCTATTGCTCCTCACGTTTAACCACAGGGAGGCAATGGCCCCAGCCCTGCTGCCTGCTTGCTCAGCAGCTGCTGCTGAGCACTGGCATTTTCCTGTAAGAGAAATCTAGAAAAAAAAAAAAGAAGAAAAAAAGCCTTCTAAATGCTCCTATTTCTGGGCTTCTTTTCATCATTACAAGGTATTTTCATTTAAATAACTGTGAGCTCTCAACCTGGATCTAACCTTGGGTCCAGGGCAATCCAGGGTGCATCAAATCCAGAGGAAGGAGGTCTGACTGCAGCTGGGGGCTTCACTCTGGTGAAGGAGGAGTAGTACAGGTTTTGGTTAGTGATCCAAGAGCATACTAGGTCTGTGCTGTTACTCCCAGTGTGTAATAGTGCCTTTGGCTGGTGAATGTATATTGCATGGTGAAGGTTTGCAAGCTCCGTTAATTTGTAGGCTTTTTGCAGTTGAGTCTCAAGACAGCTGCGTGCAAGTTGAAGAAAAATAAACCTCTTGTTTGTCAATGTAGTTACCTTTGCAGATCATTAAAAGCACCTCACAAAACCTATGGAATGTACAGACTGAAAATTCTGTTTTAAGGGCTTTAAACACCTGATTTTTCTTCATTTGAAGGATATCTTTGTAACTGAATCACTTGAGAGTCGCTCGAAGTGACTGTCATCTCTTTAGGACTTTCACCATAGCTTTATCTATTTTGAAGTGTTTTCTGTGTATGGCTTCCCTTCCAGAGAAAGAATATCAAAATGAGGCTTTTGCTCATGTGATGTAATCCCTGAAGCCCATCTCTTTTCAGGTAGTTCCTGTAGTGATAGGGGGAAACACTTTCTTAAAGGTATGCTTAAACTTATTGGCTGTCCTTTTGGGGATGCTTTCTTAACAGGTTTGTTTTATAAAGCGCTGTGAGCTTGGCAGATCCCTCTGATCCACCTTGATGCTGCGGGAAAAAATACAGGCAGGAATTAAGGAGGTTTTGAAATTGGCAACCTTTTAAAAAAAATATTGGCCACTGGACAGATTATTTCTTTTTCCATCAACAAGGATATTTCCTCCCAAGGCTCGTGCTGTTCCGCCTGCAACATCAGCATTCTCCTTGTTCTGTCAGCAGTTGTGTGGCTGCAAGGGGAGAAATGTACCCAGGACAGTAATTTCTCCCCTAGGGTGCTAAGCCTGCTGTGTATTTATATTTATTGACTGTCTTTGAGAACTTCCCTTGCCCCTTGTTCTCTTGCTGGCGCGACATTTGCAGAAGGCAGAGACGGATGCTCTTAAATCCTCTTTGTGTGGCCTTTTTGCTGAAATCCGTCCATGTAACAAGGATAATAGCCATCACCAGTGACAAGCCCTTGACCTGGCTTTTTATGTCTCTGAATTTCAGTTCTTCTTATTCAGAAAAAAATAATTAAAAAAAAGGTATTTTTTCTTTTAGGATCAAAGGAGAAAAGGCTAGCCGTTCACTTATTTTCCTAGGCAAAGACAAAGTGCTTCAGCTGTAACTGTTACGTGTCTCTGCAATGATCATGCTAAAAGCTATGCAGCTTGTCAGGGACCACACTGTTTTGCTGAAATTTTAAATGAGACCAACAACTGGGGACCCCTTGGTCTCATAAGCTCAATGGGGTATAATCCAGCAGGAAATGCCTGGGTTCCGGCAGTGAAAATCCTAATTTTACATAACACAAAAGTGCATGAAAGCTATTGTCGAGGATGAAAAAAATATCCGGCATCATTTTTGTGGTGAAGGCTGCAGAAGGCTTATCATGTGGTCCATTGTTCTTTATTTTGAATGCATCTGGAGGCTTGAGAAATAATTTATCTGGTGACAAATTCCTGCCATCCAACCCAAGAAAGAAAAAACATGGATGTAACTGCTCTCTCCAAATGCTTTTCCTATCCCATGCTCCTGCCTCTTGCCCTCCCGGGCTGCACCCCTCCCCAAGTGGGCAAGGCCACGCGTTTACAGGGAGCAATCAAGAATTCCTGAAAATCAGGAGGGTTACTTGTGTTCACAGCCTGTCTCCATTGGTTTAACAGAAAATAATGTTTTGTCCTGGCCAGCTGAGCAGGCATAATTACTAGTACACTGGCTGAGTGCTTTTGTACCTAGGGGACTCCTTGCAGCTCAGCAGTGCACATCGGCTCTAGCCAGCGTGAAGGCACCGTCAGGGCAGGATGGAGCTTGTTTTGGGGTGCTGCTACATGTGGTGGGGCCAGAGGCAGCTCAGGCTTCCCTGCTACTATCTGGAGGGGGGGTGTCCCAACACAGCTGGGGGCAGGTGTCTGTGCTCCTGCTTGTGCTGGTGGGATGGAGCAAATGGCAAAAGGAGGGATGGGGCAGGGCTGGTGGTTGTGGCAGCTGGAGGAAGGAAAAGTAAAAGGGAGGAAGAGAATGCAAAGGGAAAGAATAAAAGAAAGGAAGGGAATAATCCCTACAAATACCAAACTTCAACCCTCCCTCCAACACAGCTGGGGGCAGGTGTCTGTGCTCCTGCTTGTGCTGGTGGGATGGAGCAACTGGCAAAAGGAGGGATGGGGCAGGGCTGGTGGTTGTGGCAGCTGGAGGAAGGAAAAGTAAAAGGGAGGAAGAGAATGCAAAGGGAAAGAATAAAAGAAAGGAAGGGAATAATCCCTACAAATACCAAACTTCAACCCTCCCTCTCCTCTGACATTTGTCCCCCTCCTTCAGTGTGCAAATCCATTTGTCCTCTAAATGTATATTTG